GACTCTAATCTGGGAGAACTGGGTTTGATTCCCCACTCCTCCACTTGCACCTGCTGGTGTGACCTTGGGTCAGTCACAAGCTCTGGCACAGCTGTCCTTGAAAAAGAGCAGTTTGTGTCAGGGTTCTCTCAGCCCCATCCACCTCACAGGGTGTCTGTTGTGGGGAGAGGAAGGGAAGGGAGTTTGTAAGCCGCTCTGAGACACCTTTGGGTAGTGAAGGGCGGGGTATAAATCCAATCTCTTCTTCTTCTATATGATATTTCTTGCATTGATGGGATTTTTTCTGATTTCCAATATTTTGCAAATACAATGCGAGCAGATGTTAATATATACGTTACTACATATTGATCATTTTTTTAATGTTATCAGGTAGCATATTTAACAAAATAGCTTCTGGTACATCTATAGCCAATATTTCTAATATCATTTTATGTACTTTACGCCAATATTTTTCCGTTATATTGCACCTCCACCACATGTGGGAAAAGGTTCCTACATCCAGCAATTTTTGACACATTTACAGTGTCATTGGTTTTATTTTTATGTCAGTGGTGTCAAACATGCGGCCCAGGGGCCAGATCAGGCCCCCGGAGGGTTTCCATCAGGCCTGCAGTGGAACTGGCCCATCTCGTGCTTCCAGTTCTGCTGCTGCATCATAGCTTGCTTTGCCAGACTCTCTTAATCATGCAGCCATTTCATGTTTTAACCTGGGTCCTAGACTCAGAATTCTGAGCATGAGATTTCTGTGGTGAATGTCAATAAATCAAAAGTAGGTGTGCAGCTCACAGAGCGAATGTTTTAAGCATGTTTTAAAGTTAAAAAAACCCCTTTGTATTTGTGTCCTTTATAAAGTTTATATCTCCGCTACCTGGCATTACATTTTATGACACACATGGCCCGGCCCAACAAGGTCTCATTTATGTCAGATCTGGCCCTCATAACAAATGAGTTCGACACCCCTGCTCTGTGTAATCTGCCTTGAGTCCCAATGAGAAAGGGAGACTCTCAATAGCATAAATAAATTGTGTCTAATTTTACAATTAGTTATTGGTCCTTTGTGTCGGTCACACAGATAGCACAATCAGATTGCTCACACATACAAGGTTTTGGTTTCTGTATTGGTGGGCAAGGGGTGACTCCCAAGTATGGAGACACATGGACTTTGTAAACTAAACCAAAAAAAGCAGTCTAATGAGAGCTGAATGCTTCCCTGGTGGCACAGGATGTTGAGTCAGTTTATTATTTATGTATTCAGTTTATATCCTGTGTTTTTCCCCAACGGGGATCTAAAGGGCCTTACATAATTTTATACTCGCTACTGCCCTGTGAGGTAGGTTATGCTGAGCTTGTGGAACTGGACCAAGGTGACCACAGCACACTTCCAGGGAAGAATGGACGTTCAAACTTGGATTTCCCAGATCCTACTTCGGCACGCTAGCCACTGCATGGGACCACCTTGGGACCAAGGACCAGTTCAGTCAAGACTCTGAGAGTTTATATAGTCACGGGGAGGAGGAATGTGCAAGTTGTTCTTCCTCCTCCACCTGCCCCCTATGAAGTGGATGAAATTTTTTGCTAGTCAGACAGACCAAGAAAATTATTCCAAATGCAATTGACTATTTTTTCCCCCTCCCCGCGTCTGTTTTTTCTTGATCTGCAGCGCTGCGTGGAGAGGTTGAAGAACAGCCGGGCCAGGCTTTTAGACCGATACCGCCATGTGGGAGAGGATACTGCTGCTGGTGAAGGAACAAGAAGCTCCCTTCTAGTCCAGGAGGTGATGGAGGTCGAGTGGCAGGCCTTGCAGTCGGTGGACGCCAAACTGCCGTCCCTCTGGAAGAAAGACACTTCCCTCCACGTTAGTTACACACGTTGTTTTGTGTCTTCCTAGCCCCCACAAACTGCTTTCCCACGTATGTTCAAGCAGCAGGCAGTCATGTTTTTAAAAGTCATCTTGTTAAACCCATTAAGAACAGCAAATTAGAAACCGATCAGCCAGACAGTGCAGTGAGATGCTGCCGATTTATCTGTTTGATGCTTATCCAGTTTCCCTGTTATAAACCTGCCCCACCTCCCCAGTGACTCACACTAGTGGTAAGAATCAGGGCCAACCTATCTTTTTGAAAGAGAGGGGAAAGAAGGCGAACTAAATCCCTCTGGAGAAGGAGCTGCCCAGCTTGGGCTCAGTCTTGGAAAGGCTGTTCCCCAGTAACTACCCACTTAATCTCCTGCATGCAGAATGGGGCCTCAAACAAGAATCTAAGCAGACAAGTGGAAGGTAGGGGGAATGCGTTGGCTCCCTGGCCAGGTTGTGCAGCCTTTGGGGTGATGCCTCAAACTCAGCAGAAGTTAGGAAAATGGGAATGAGACACCTTTCAAAGAGTGTCCCCGTGGGAATCTTCTGTAGATGCCATGATTTAATGAAAATGCCTGTAAACCCCTGGGCAGAGCTACTCCAGGATAAGCCCACTGATTGCACTTTGTGTTTGTGTGTATGTGTGCAGCCACACAAATAAGAATGAATCTCCTCCCAGCTCAACTTTTGTCTGCACTGACTGGCAGCACCAGTCCTAGGTCTCAGGCAGTGGCCTGTTCCCAGCCTTGTGGTCTGAGATTATTTTGGTGTGAGAGCCAGTCTGGTGCCATGGTTAAGTGCGCAGACTCTAATCTGGGAGAACCAGGTTTGATCACCCACTCCTCCACTTGCACCTTGCTGGATGACTTTGGGCAAGCCATAGTTCTGTCAGAGCTGTTCTTGGGAAAAGAGCCCTTTCTGTCAGAGCTCTCCCAGCCCCACCTACCTCACAGGGTGTCTGTTGTGGGGAGGGGAAGGGACAGGAGTTTGTAAGCTGCTCTGAGACTCCTTTGGGTAGTGAAGGGCGGGGTATAAATCCTTTACTAATCTTTTTATTGTATCCCAATATTGTTATTACATTACAGTTTAGTTCCAACTTGTTGATACTTCCCCCCCTATTTTATCCCTTGCCCCCCCCCAAGGTGGCCACCATCATGTTATTCAAATTACATTTTCAACCATGAGCACATTCTTTCCAACTTTTCAAGTATACCCCTGTTGGCTTCCCCTTTATAAACCCATTTAAAGTATAGGGCGGGGTATAAATCCAATCTCTTCTTCCTCTTCTTTTCCTGGAAATGGCAAACGGTGAGCTTTGCAAGTTCTGACCCATAGCTTCCCTCTGGCTTTTCTCACGTGCCAAGGCCTGACGCTAAGTCTGTGCTGCTTGGTTCTAGGTTCTGGAAGACTCCAATGAACTAGCCGTGTTGGAGGAGATCCAGAAAGAGCTGATCTTGCAAGGTACTCCTTTTTTTTTTTTTTAAGCAAACTGGTTTTAACTGTTGTGATTTTAATTACTGTTGTAAGCTGTCTCAAGCACAAGGTTTTAGTTTTTTTAAGGTTTATGTTCTTTGTAGTCTGCCTTAGTTACAGGGACTCAAGGTGGATTCCACGCAGTGAGTCAGTACAGTCAATGAAATGGGACATTAGGAAAAGAAATATCATATCCGCCTTGATTGATAGTCCATATGTTCCGCCTGAGCTCACTCAGCACTGAGGCTTTTGCGTTTCAGACACCCAACAAAAAAGCCTTATTTTCCCAGTTCTGTCAATTTCTATCTATCGCATTTTAATCTTCCCCTTTCTTCAAGGAAGAAGGAGCTGCGGTGGCTCAAGTGGTTAAGACGCTGAGCTACAGGCTGTGGAAGGTCGGTAGTTCAGCAGTTCGAGACCTGGGTGTGCCACATGATGGAGTGAGCTCCCGTCTCTAGTTCCAGCTCCTGCCAACCTAGCAGTTCAAAAGCAAGAAATTGCAAGTAGATAAATAGGTACCACTTTGGTGGGAAAGTAACAGCGTTCCGTGCGCCTTGGTGTTTAGTCATGCCGGCCACATGACCACGGAAATGTCTTCGGACAGCGCTGGCTCTTCGGCTTTGAAACAGAGATGAGCACCGCAACCCTAGAGTCGGATTCGACTGGCTTTCGAGCAAGGGAACCTTTACCTTCTTCAAGGAGCTTGGCAAAGCTTACATGGTTCTCCTGTTTCTTACAAGAGAGTGACCGACCCAAATTCACCCAGTGAGCTTCATAGAGGGGGGATTTGAACCCTGGTCCTAGTCAGGGACTCACTTCACTCAACGTTCTAGTTCTCATTGACTGAGCTGTTCGTAGTATCTTTTCCCCTTTTATCTCTACTATTGCTGCAGTTTCGATTGTAGCGCTGGTCTGATTAGTTGATCACTATGCTTTTTTATCATTCATTCATTATGCTGTATGTTAGTATTCTGATTATTGCTGGAAAGTGCCTCATGTGCATACTTCAAAGAGGCTGAATATGAATGTCTTAAACATTCCCCCATAAGCAGACAGGTCAAGCATCTTGCTGACCCAGTGAATGGGTAGGGCAATAGATTGAGGATGGAAGTATTTGTCGACTCAACAAGTAATTAGGTTGTGGGGTTCACTGCCAGTGGATGTAGCCATGGTGACAAGAAGGGGGTCCACTATAGTTAGAAAAATTCTGAATACCAGTGCTGAGAGGCAGCATCAGGGGAAGGCCTCTGCCTCTATGTCCCTGTTTGCTGGGCAAGGGCGAGTGGTTGGCCGTTGTGCAAAACAGGATGGTGGACTAGATGGACCACTGGTCTGATCCAGCATGGGGCTCTGGAATTTGCCACTTTTTCCCGATTGATTCTCACTTCCAGGCACTGATTTTACTTGTTTAATAGAGTAAGCACACGGGAAATAAGACTGTGTTCGGGGCTTTTTTTTTGTCCCAGTATAACATTTACTTTTAAAGTTTGTTTTGTGAAAGGGAGGATGAACCGTCTTTGTCACACCTTGAAGGCTGTGTGAAGAACGGATTTGTGTCGTATGGAGACCATATCATGAAACGGCAGTGGTTGGTGGTGCTGCAGCACTTGTTGGAGCCGGGAAAGATTTCTGATCCCTAGCATCAGACTTTAGGTGCCAGGCCTTGTACAGAACTTGGAATGCATTTGACGTGACCCAATTACTACATCAGGAGACGATTAGCAGCACTTGGGAATACCACAACTAAAGTTAGGGGGTCAGTGTGCACTGCTATCCAGTGAGCCCACCATATAGAGCTCCCGATAGCAAGCGACGGTGTCTTTCTCCCTTGCAGAACAACTGGCTATAGAGGAATACGAACAAAGCCTTCAGTTTGATGAGGAGTGCCTCAATGCGATGCTCGAGGGCTTAGATGCTGAACCCAAGGTGATCTGCCCAGTCTGTCAAAGGTGAGCAACCCTGTATTTCTTCGCTTGAAGAACTTACGATCTCCATTCATAGCCGTGCACATGCCGGGGGTGGCCAGTACTGATAGATCTCCACGGCCTCAAGCATAGGCCTGGTGGAACAGTTCCATTCTACAGGCCCTGCAAAACTGCATTGAGTCTTTCAGGGCATGGATCTCTCCTGGGAGAGTGTTTCGCCAGGCTGGTGCCAGAGTCGAGAAGGCTCTGGATCTGGTTGAGGCTAAGCGGACTTCCTTCGAGCTGGGGATCACCAGCCGATGTTGATCCATAGAGTGTAATGCTCTTTGAGGGCCGTACCGGGAGAGTTGGTCCGGAAGGTACGTTGGTGTCAGACCGCAATAGGGCTTTAAAGGTTAAAACCAAGACCTTGAATTTGATCCGGTATTCAGCTTGGAGCCAGTGCAGCTTGTGGAGCACCGGTTACGTATGGGCTCTTAACTTAATGGTGTCCCTGTGAGGACACACGCTGCTGCATTCTGGACCAGCTGAAGTTTCCGGATCAATCTCATGGGTATCCTCATGACAGCATTTTGAGGTAGGTGAAGCTGAGAGAGAGAATAGCCCAAGATTTACCTGTTCACAAATGCTCAAAGGGCCACGTCCAGCACTACTGCTTGCACTATGATCCAGGTGACAACAGAACACTGCTTAGTTGGAGATTAACCCTGCTGGTGTTTTGTTGGATACCCGCCAGCACTGGAACACAGCTGGGTCGTAAAACAGTGTTATCCAACTCAGTTGAACTGCCAGCCCCTGCTTCACTGCTCAGTTTTACTGAACGTTTAAATCAAGGTTATAAAACATTTTTTTTGTTGTCCTGAAAGTCCACATTTCCAGGCAGCTGCAGAGGATGATATGAGTTGAGGGTTAGATATATTTCTTGATCATTGTTTCTTCTCCCTTCTGATGCTTTTGCCATGGGAATTGGGGTGAGAGCTGTTCTCACAGTCCTGTTCCGTTTCCCCAGGAATAACCTCACCATGACGAGTCACGTGGTCACCTGTACCTGCGGACTGTGCATCGGCACACAGGTAAACAAACACTCAAAGGCACTGAAATCGTGACAGCCACTACTGCTCTCTGGTAAAGTTTTTGGGTGAATGAAGCACGCTGGGGGCTTCGCAAGGCATCTCCTCCGACCCCCTCTTCCTTAGGATAACTTGGGCAAGAAAGTGGTGTGGGCAGGTGGACTGTGCAGAAAAGCAAGCCTTGGCCACGCATTTCTGCCAGTCTGCTGCCAGTCCCTTTGTCTGTTCCGCACCTCCCGGCCATCGTTCTTGGATGCCACCGAGTTCTGCTTTCATCAGATGAGGCAGAGTTTTCCAGTTTTTCGATGAAATACATAATTTTAAGTGTCTGCTGTGTGCACCCCTTATTACCCTTGCCCTCTCGACTGGAAACCCCCCAGCAGCTCCCGAGCCTTTTCTTGTAGGGTAAGGGCTCCAATCCATTGATCATTTTGGTTGCTGTTTTCTAAAACCTCTCTTGAGCTGTTACCCTTTCTGAGATATGGTGACCAGAACTGTACATGGTGTTGCAGATGCGGGTAGACCATAGGCTTGCTCTTTTTTTTTTGTCTTTTTTTTCCAATTTTTAACAATTCTAACACTTCAAACAGTGAACAATTAATCTTCCAATTACATTCACATCCTGTAAATAGTTCCTGAGTATGTACAACGATATAACATGTTCAAAGAATTACAATACATTACTCATCACATTTCCGAATATGTTTTCAGTAGAAAGATAACAGACTTGGCGTAAACTTAATAGAAACATTAGGAAGCAATCTGAACTATTGGAGCGGTAAGAAAGAGAAGAAAGAAAAGGAAACTTCTATTATCAACTTACAATAACAATTACGACATATCATTCGACCCTTTGGAAGATTTAATGTGAAATATTAGAGCTAGTGGAGAAGAAATAAGTTTGACCTGCTTGACCTAGCTGCTGCACAACCTCTCTAGGGTTGCCTACTCTGACCTGGAGATCTGTGGTGGGTGGCGTTTGGAGAGGCAAAGGAGCTCAGTGGGGATGTGATGTCACCCTAGGACTCCCGTGACTCCTCGAACTATGGTATACCAAGACTGTCCTCTGAAGCGCTCACTTCCTCCAGGGGAACTGGTCTCTGTAACACGTCCTCCCTCTCTCGATGGTGCCTCTCTTTGCCACCTGGTCTCCTCCTTGCGGGCATGTCCCCTACCATTCTGTGAATGGAACTCCTGTCTTTGTCTCTGTCCCTGCAGTCCCTTCTGACCCCTGGCAGGATCATCCCCAGGGTTGAGGGACCTGTGCAAAGTAGTAGCTGTGGGGGTGGGGCTGAAGTGAAGAATGACAAAATCTCCCCGCCTTCTGCAGCTGTTAAAGGAAGGGCTCGATTTCATTCCTGCATCTCTCGAGCCCGCTGACTGCTCAGCGGTTCTTTTGCATGGATTCTGGGACCCCAGGAATGGTCTTTCCAGGGGTTGGAAGGATCTGCAGAGAACAGAGAGGAATTCAGGAAAACTGTGTACCTTCTGTACACAGGTGATTGGATACATATCTTTAATCTGCGGGGATTTACAGTTAAAAGTACTATAAGACAGGTGTGCAGTGTTGAAAACTCAGTGCTGAAGGGGTTTGGGGATGGTGGTAAATAATCAAACAATGGAGTATCTGGGTTTCCATGGGGGGGGGTGTTACACGGAGAACATGGTGGACAGTATCGGGGGAGGGATAGATAACTGGGTAGGGTGGCAGCTCTGCTAAATCACATGCAATTGATTCTTTCTCCAAGGGGGTGACCGAAGAGATGCTTCGGTCACTGCTAGCTGATGGGGTAGCGGAGCACAGCCAACACTGCCAGCACAGTCCTGAGTTCTCTGTAACTAGCGGGATGGATGGAGAAACCAACCTTCTCATGAGTTGTCAGGTAAGCTTCCATTCTGTGAGCTCCCTGATGAAGAGATGCTCTAGTTCAAACTGGATATTCCACCCACTGACTCATGGGGGGGGGGATATTTTCTTTTACACCCCTCCTCTCTCAATTACCTTAAATAACACGAGTCAAACAGAAGGCAATTATTAAGTGCACCCAGAGAGCAGGATATATACTGAGCTACAAGCCTGGCTGCCACCATTCCATCCAACCCGTCTTCCAAGGAGCTTAGGCAGGCAGGCATGTTTCTCCACTCACAGTATTCTTACAGCAGTTCTGCAAGGTTATCTGTGTCAGTCTGTGTGAGACGGGGCCAAAATCACCCAGTGAGCTTCATGGCTGGGGTGGGGGATGGGGATTTGAATCCAGGTCTCTCATCTCTCCAGACATCTTCTAACAATATAGGCCTTCTTCTCTTTAAAAGAAAGAAAACCTTTTATTAGGAACCAACCACAATGACAGAATGTCATGCAAGCTTACTGGAACTCTTAATCAGGGTGGCTATTACGAAATTTTAAAAAATAGAAGGGTAGAAGGCAGATTTCTCAGGCAGTGGTGTTAAGGTCTGATCTTGTAGACATCACTTTTAGGAGAATCAGCCAGCTTGGCCTGCTTGCATCTCACAAAGGTATTACACAGATTTTGTTATCATTTCTGGATTTTGTGTGAACCAAGATGGCTGTACTTTTTTCCTGTCTCCATTTGACACAAGATACCAAAGACGAATAAGATAGAAAGAGCAATTTATAAAAGTTACTTTTTTTGTAACGTACTTTATTTGTGCAGGAGGGGAAAGGAGGCATGGGGAGATCTTGCTGTTTTTATTTACTGAAGTTGTACAGTGATATTAAAACTACCAGGATGATGCATTATCACTCTGTACAGAGTAATCCCAATAGGACTTATAAAAAAAAGAGACACATGAAAATAAATTATTTGGGCAGTTAAAAATGCAGCATGAGATCACTTTCTCTTGTGCCTTGGAGGTTTTTTTTTTAGTGTTGACAATAACTAGTCAGGAGGTGGGTATCAGCACTGGGCTCAGCTCATTCCCACCTCCTGGCTGCTCCTTGTTGTGAAGGTTTGATCCTTGCCTGGTGCTGGTGGAGGAGAGGCAACTGCACCCAACCTCCAGAGCACGGACACTAAAGCTAGAAATGGAGACGCCCTGAACTTCGCATGTACTCTTCATAGTGCTACCCTACATTAAACAGGGCAGAACTATGAAGGGTGCATAAGAGGCAGCCAGACTATCATCTTTCTCTTTTGAAAACAAAAGACAACCTGGCATTTTAATTTTTCCCTCCTTTCTCTAGATTTGTGATTTCTTGGCAGTCATTTTGTAACCTCAGCTTTGCTGGATTGTCTTCTGGGAAAGATGCAGCTCTGAGAGACTCCTTTTTTCCCAAGCTTCAAATGTTTGGAAGGCATCTTGTATATCTTGTTAATAAATGTATGTTCTCAATGCACATATTGTATATAACTGCAAAAAGTATTCTTTACTGCTATATAGAATTTGTATTTTAATTTAAATTGAACTGTGTTGGTTTGTACACTGTCTTACTAAATAAAAAATCACCTCTGAAGCATTGAAGAGGTTACTCATAAAGTCAACTGGATTTTTTTGTATACCCAGAAGTGCTACCAAAGGGCTGGGAGGGGACTTGGCCAAAGTGGAACAACTGGGAGAATGGGGCTTCCCCCCCTCCTGTATTCAAAGATATATTGGCTCTGTGGATTCAAAACCACTGTCAGTCAAAATACTGCTCTAGATACCCCCAAATTATTGAAACTGGTTTACGGCCTTATTATTATTGCAAAAGCTGTAACTCCTGGTTAGAGCACAGTCTTTTAATCTAAAACTATGTGAGTTGAGGAAGACCATGAATTTTGCTAAGAATCTACGGCAGGGGCAGCCAGACTTGCTTAACATAAGAGTCACATAGAATAAACGTCAGATGTTTGAGAGCCACAAGACATGAACGACTTACACACTTTTTTGGGGGGGAAATATGCAAATTTGCTTTTTATTAACATTAAATGAGACTGCAAAAATAAAAACAAAAGGGGTAAAAACAGATGTTGATAATATTTATTTGCCCAATGATATTTGTTTGTTAATGATATTTATTCGTCTAAGAGAAAGAGAAACAAAGAAAGCAAACATGGGGAACAAGGGGGAGGAAGGAAGGGAGAAAGAGAAAGAAACAAAGCAAATAGATGGGAAGGAAGAGAAAGGTGGAAAGAATGAGAGGTTGGAAGGAAGGAGAAACAGAAAGCAAATAGACAAGGGGAGAAAGAAAATAGATGGGGGAGGAAGGAAGGAAGGAAAATAGAAAGGAATGAAGGGAGAAGGAAAGAGGTGGAAAAAAATCAAAGGGGGAGGGAGGGAGAGGTGGAAAGAAAACAACTTTAACTTTAAATGTGTTCTCCAACTCCCCCCAAGCAGGTGGGCGGGGGCTTGGAGAATGCCTTTAACTTCAAATGTGTTCTCCAAGCCCTCTGCAACCACTGCTGCATCAGCTTGACTTGGAAAAGGGATTTAAAGAGACAAATGCCTTTGCCAAGCCAAGCCAGCCGGGTGGTGTGCTGGGGCTTGGAGAACCCATTTAACTTTAGATCGGATGGGGGGAAAGAGAGAAAGTGGAAAGAAAACAAATATTGGAAGGGTGGAAAGAAAGAAAGCCAGCTGGCGTTCTCCAAGCCCCCCACCGCAAGCCTACCCAGGGAGGGAAACACTGGTTTGGGAAGGGAAGACCGATCATGGAGGCATGCCTCCCCTTCACTTCCCCAGCCACCCTGCCAGGAACCACACAATATGTGTGAAAGAGCTGCATGTGGCTCCCGACAGGGTGGCTGGGGACCCCTGGTCTATGGCATCTTGCTCAGTGGTAAAGCACATGCTTGGCATGCAGAAGGTCCTGGGTTCAAACCCCATCTCCCCATATTTGAAAGGGAAAGACCCTGGCCTGGGAGAACCTAAAGAGCTTCTGCCAATCGTAGCTAAGAACAGTGGGCTAGTTTAAGTCAGTAATCTGACTTGGTATAAGGCAGCTTCGTCCGTTTCTGATGCAACCGTACTGAACTGTATTCAGAAAGGCTTTTCCTGCTTGTCTACAGCAGACGTGACTACTGGACCACCTATATATTTATACTACTTTTGTTCATACAGAAGAAGGAAAGTGGTCTCATTGCCAGTTAAAAGATCCTGCCAGGTGTTTTAGTTTTACTTGTATCACATGTTTTGTATTAAATTACTGCAAATCGCCTCAAGAGCCAGATAGGGAAAAGTGCAGGGCAGAAACATAAAACCCAAACTTTTCCCAACAGACTTAGCTGCTCCTGATTTTCAAAGCCCCATAAACTAAACAAGAAAGGTAAATGCAAGAGGATGCTAGTCTAGTAGCTTTTGGAAAGCTTTGGTGATTGGCCTGCAAGCCTGAGAGAAACTGCACACATATATGTACACACACATATGTATGTATACATGTGGATTCTGAAATTTAGTTCAAATCTAGAATTGACAGATGAAAACCATATAGGTCTATTTTATTCCTGAAACTGAAAAAGACATGAGATGACCTATTTATTGGCTGCGGTCACACACACTAAATAATCCAGTTGGAAAGTGCACTGAAAGTGGATTAAAAGTGTATTATTTAGTGTGTGTGACCGCAGCCATTGTTAATTAACAGAGGAAACAGAATGGAAATTCTAAGTCTGTCATACACATAGCTGCCTGGAGATCAACCTTTCAGAATCTGCTTTTAGCATACAATTCAAGTTTATTATTTGGGGGTAACAAAAGGCTTATTAGCGTAATGGCAAACTCTTTCTGCTCTAGTGCTTCCTTAGCGCAATCACTTCTTGTGCAACTTCTTGCTTTTATCTTCAACTTCCTGCATCACAGTTTGCAATTTGGTGGCATTTCCTTTCAAGAAAGCAAAGCTTTCTTTGAGGTTGCTGGTCCCATGTTCTCGGCAGATGTTGTCGAGGCCATCAAACCACTGAAGGATCCTTTCAAGCTGCTCCTGGGTGGCTTTTTGCTCTTCTAGCTCTGTTTTCAGAGCCTGCTGAGCAGATATTTCAGCCTTGATGCGGTGCTCCAGGTGACAGATCTCCTCCTGGAGTTCTTGAAACTGGCTTTCAGTGTAGCGGTATTGATCCTGGCATCTGTCTTCGGGGAGCAAAACATTTTCTGGGATCGTTAGCACCACCCGTAGCAGCACTTGTTCCATTTTGCCAAACAGCTGGTCAAAGTGGTTCCTCATATAGGCAAGGAATTTTTCGCTGCTTCGACGGATCGAAGAAGGTGTGAGCTTAGAGTGGCGCATGCTCTCCAGTTTCTTCAGGATCACCTCTTCTATTACCAGCATCATGTGAAAGAGATGGTCTTGGAACGCAAGGTACATACGCATCATGCACGTCTGAGGGGTGAAGCCAAAGAACTGGGTTTCGTAGATCATGACATTTACAGACATCTTGATGAGCAAAGAGTGTACACACCATGTAGAAATCTGGAATCTGGAACAAAAAAATAATAATCATAGTCTGAGGCAGTGTTAGGGTTGCCAGCCTCCAGGTGGGACCTGGGGATCTCCCGCTTTTACAACTGATCTCCAGCTGACAGAGATCAGCTCCCCTGGAAAAAATGGCTGCTTTGCAGGGTGGACGCCATAGCATTGTACTATGCTAAGGCCCCTCCCCTCCCCAAACCCCGCCCTCTCCTGGCTCCACCCCCAAAGTCTCCAGGTATTTTCCAATCCAGACCTGGCAACCCTAGGCAGTGTACAGCTTTGACTAGACCTAAGGGGACCCACTTCCTATGCGGGTCTTAATATCCCAAGATCACTTAGGAAATTCTTGCCTCCAACATCCCACTTAGCGTTGCTAACCTCCATATGGGACCTGGAGATCTGGAATTACACGTGATTTCCAGACCACAGAGGTTATTAACTCTGCCGAAAATGGCTGCTTCTGCTTGCTCTATACCCAAAAACCTAGGGCATAGCCTAAAAAAAAAAAAAAGGACGTCTAGTAACCCAAGGTAATAGCCTCAGTCAACTTTCCTGTTTTCAGCTATATGGCCACATTTTTTGACTGAATGTGGCCAAAACTTTACACATTCTCTCATTTATTTAAAGTTTGCGTAGTATCCACGGTGGCGCAAAATCCTGAAGAGCTCGTAAGTCTGTGTTGTTATACCCTGCTGAGGTTCCCCCCACTTGCAAATCTCCCCCGGATTTGGCAACCCTACCTCCTACCTCAAACATTTATTTGCTTCATTTGTGGTCCAACTTTCTCGTTCAGGCTCGGAAACGATTACAGAGTGGTAACGGACAATGCAATTTAAAAAAATTCAGTCTATAGTTTTTACCTCAGACCTGGCCTCTCTCCCCCGAGTAGAAGGCCCCGGAGCTCAACCGCCGCCCAACTGAGTTCTCCCCTTTCCCGCCATATTCAAACCGTTCCTCATTCGCTCCGAAGAGCCAGACCCTCCCCTTCCGCCCCTCCCCTTTTCGGAATCACAGAGAGCGCTTGGAGAAAACTAGAGAGACTGTCAGCCTCCGAACTTCCGGCTGGGAGGGGAAATCCTCCACTAGCAGCCAAGCCGCTACGACGAGGTCGCTCTGGCAATCGCATCACTATGGTGATGCCTGCTTAGGAAGGCAGCCGGCGCTTTATGGGTCTAGCCTCTTTCCCCACCTCTATGTTTCTAGAGCGGAAAGGAGGCGAAAGCGAGGAGGGAAAGGGCGGACGGCGCTGACTGGCTGCGTGGAGGCGTGACGCGACAGGGGGGAGTGCCGTTGTTGGCTGCCCGTCCGGCCACTAGATGGTTTTCGTATTGGTCGACGCCGCGGTGGCGTCATAAGGTGGGAGAATAGCCTCGGCGACGGCGCCAGGATGGCGTACCGGACCTTCCGCCAGGAGTACCTTCATATGCCTGTTGTCACCCGGGCCTATACTACCGCCTGTGTCCTCACCACCGCCGCCGTGGTGAGTGGGGAAGGAAAGGGGTCTAGTTTCTGGCCCCTTGTTAGGGAGAGAGGCTAATCGCACAGGGAAATGCCAATTGCCACTTTGGGGTCAGGAAGTAATTTTCTCCAGGCCAGGTTGGGCAGGGATCCTGAAAGGTGGTGGGGAGGGGGTTGTATGCCACCTTCTGGACATGGAGCAGGGGTCACTGGGGATGTGTGTGGGTGGAGGTAGTTGCGAATTACCTGCATTGTGCAGGGGATTGGACTAGACGACCCTGGGGGTTCCCGTCCAATTCTGTTATTTGCATGTGCCCATGTATGTGCCTTTCACCAGGGTGACCCTTGGGTTGAGCTAGTTTGCATAGTACAGTCCTTTCTGCTCACAGATTTTTGTCTTAGCTCAGGAAGGATGGCTTCGGAGGAAACTAATTTATGCAGTAGCCAAATCGCTCGCTCACAACTTTAATGCCAGTAACTCACAACGCAGAATTTTTGTTCAGGTGTGCGCTCAAAAGTTGAGCATCGGTACGCTGCCAAGACTTGACTTCGTTTTGTATGCTCATCTCTTTCAGCAATTGGAATTAATCACACCGTTTCAGCTATACTTCAATCCAGAATTAATATTTAAACACTATCAAGTAAGTGCCTGTCTCTCTTTTTGGTAAGTTGTTGCTTCTTAAAGAGTGTTGTTTAAACTTGACTTGCTCAACAGAAGGTCTTCTGTTTTCAGCAGGTGGGAACAAAAAAGTAGCTCTCTAGTCGGGAGGTGCTTTGGGATTGCTGGCGATGGTGTGGTTGCGGGTGGGGGGCAGACGTGAGCTCAGCAGGAGTGCTGTATATGCCACACGTTGTGATTTGTTACCTCAGTGGGGATAGCTCTCATCAATATGCAGCTATGTATATCTTTATCCAGATCGCCTGGTGATGCAGTGGCGGTCCTGAATCACTGGCTGGCTGCTGTTGTTTAAATGGCTAAGAGTGAACAAACTGAAACCAAATACTGGAAAGACAGAAGTAATACTGGTTGGGAAGGTGGAGGTCTTGAAGGACATTATGCTTTCCACTTTCAGTGGGGTCCTGCTAACCATTACTGACTCAGTTAAGAGGGGTTATACTGGACCCAACATGGCTGGAGAAGCAAGTTAAATGCAGTTGCAAAAAAGGCTTTCTTCCCACTCAACTGGGCTCAAAAAATGGCCACTTACCTTGATTCAGCTGATCTGGCCACCTGGATCCATGCCTTCATGGCCTCGGACCCTCATATCTGTGAGACTGTTTCTCCCCCTGTGCTCTGCTCGTTCATCTGAGCAGGGCCTTCGGCAGGTGCCAACCTGCATATGGGGAAAACATGTGCCTGCACCATTGTGGCCCTCGGCCTGAGAATGTCAAACTGACTTCCACTCTCCTGGCTCTCTGCAAACTATGCAAAACCAAATTATTCAAAAAGGTTTTTCTGTGCAGACAATAGGGTAGCACTGTACAAAATGATTCACAAAGTTACTTGGGCAGATTAGTAGGCACAGTGCCGTACACTACTGTGGCCCCGGTCACACGGCAAAGTTGCCGCGGGAGAGGCACGAATGGTGGGCGGATTATCCGGGCACGATCACACCCCAACATCTGGGAAGTGGAGCGCACCCATGGCTTACCGCCGAAAATGCACGTTAAAAAAGTAGTACCTCCAAAGTACTAGTAAACGTTTGCCACGGGCTGCCTCCAGACTCCCGTGGTGTGATTGCGCCGGCGCACGGCATTCCTCTCC